AAAAAGTAATACATCATTTATTATATTAGTTCTCCTCTAATGTTTAAGATACAACGTATATATCTACTAAATATTATAAAAGACACGGACGATAAAGATGTCAATGGCACTAGAATTATTTAAACTGTTTCAATTCCTAGATTAGCTGAAAAGTTTTCTAATTTATCATGGTCGTGCAAAGACATTAGAAAATAAGTACGGGAGAAGAAACTCGATATCATAAAACTGGCTTTGGTGCTCTTAATATATAAAAAACAGAAGGCCCGGCATGGCCAGGTAGCTAGGGCGCTCGACTCGCAATCTGAGGGTCGCGGTTTCGAATCCCCATCACACCAAACATGCTCGCCCTTTCAGCCGTGTGGCATTATAATGTGACGGTCAATCCCACTATTCGTTTGTTAAAGAGTAGCCCAAGAGTTGGCGGTAGGTGGTGACGACTACTTGTCTTCCCTCTAGTCTTACGCTGCTAAATTAAGGACGGCTAGCGCAGTTTGCCCTCGTGTAGCTTTGCGCGAAATTAAAAAAACAAACAAACTCTTCATAAATAGTTTCGCGACATAATTGTATACCAAACTATTGGATACCATGCACCAATTGTGGATTAAGCGGGCTTAATTCACTGATAAGTACATTCATAATGATACATTTGTTTTTCATAACTTTTTAAAATCACTAACAGTCTTGCTTCAATGGAGTTAATCGCAATGAATGGCCAGTAAAATGGCAACGACATCTAAAAGACTTTGCAAATGTCAACGTGGCTAAAATTGAAAAAAACAACAACTTAGAATTAAGCTTTGGAAAATGAAGTATCACAAACACGGCTTTGTCTAATGAGATTAAAAATTATCTTAATGTTTCAATTCAAAGAAGTTAGAGTGTTCCGTTGCAACTGGTTTAAGATCTAATAAGGTTGTTGTTGTTTGTTATCAATCAAATAGCTATACAAAAGGCTATCTGTGCTCTGCCCACCACGAGTATCGAAACCCGGTTTCTAGCAGCGTAAGTCCGCAGACATACCACAGTGCCACTAGAGGGCAGGTCTAACAAGAAGATGGTTGGGTTTTGTTTTAGATCAATATGCTATCTAAGCTCTTTCCAACGCGTGGAATCAAACCCTGGATTTTAGCGCTGTAAGTCCGTAAACTGACCATTAGTCCACCGAAGGACTTATAAGAAGAAGAAACACAAAATAAATAATTGAGACGGGAGGATAGTTCGAAAATTTTCAAGGTAAAATCGAAGGAAAATTTCCCGAAATGAATGCAAAAATACAGAATATAGAATCAGCAATACAACTATTCCAGATCAACGGGGGGGAAAAATCGCACTTAGAAAAACCCTAATATTTTACGAGTGAACATGAGCAAACGTTTAACCTTTTGAAGAATCGAGAAAATTGGATCACTGAGAACGTGTAATATCAAATACACTGTTAATGGAATACCAAATGTTTATAATTATCTTCCCTCACTCAAACAGGTATGGGAATAGTGATCAAGTGCTGTGCTTGATCAGTTCGTGATTAGGTTATTAAACAATGGAAGAAAATACTACACTTTTTAATTAAACCCACAATGGCACAGCGGTACGTCTGCAGACTTATAACGGTAGAAATTGGGTTTCGATACCCGTGGTGGGTAGAGCACAGATAGCCCATTGCGTAGCTTTGTGCTTAACTTCAAACAAACAAACAACTGTTTAATTATCAGTTGTTGAAAACATTTGTTTGTTTGTTTGAA